CGTTGCCATAATGTAAGAGGGGAACTGAGAGCCACAGGGTAGCTTTTCTACCTCATTTGAATCATATTTTTGTACAATTACTTTGTTTGGGTTTTAGATACATAGTTTTCCCTAGAGATTTTGTTGTTATGTGCTGTGGAGTCAGTTCTGACCCATAGCAATCCTGTATCCTGTATAGGGTTTCCGAGGCTATAAATCTTTCCAGGAGCAGAAGGCCTCATCTTTCTCCCGCGGAAGAGCTGTTAGTTTCGAACTGCTGACCTTAAGGTTCGCAGCCCGATTCCTAACTACTACGCTACCAGAGATTGTTGTTGTTGTTAAGTGACTCATAGTGACCCTGCACAGGGTTTCCGAGACTGTAAATCTTTACGGGAGCAGAACACCTCATCTTTCTCCCACGGAACAGCTGGTAGTTTCGAACTGCTGACCTTAAGGTTCACAGCCCGATTCCTAACTACTACGCTACCAGAGATTAGGCAGTCATATATTCAAACAGTGGAGCTGAAACCTCATTCTGTTGGAAGCAAAATAAAAATGGCTTAGGAACTTTCTGCACTGGGATTCCTGGCCCCATCTATACAAATAATTGATTCCTTGAGTGGCACAAATGGTGTTAAGCACTCAACTACTAACTGAAAGATTGGCGGTTCAAACCCACCCAGAGGCACTTAGGAAAGCCTGACTATCTGCTTCTGAAAGACCACAGCTTTAAAAACCCTTTGGAGCAATTCTACTCTGCACACATGGAATCTACTCAGTAGCAGTTGTTTCTGTTTTAATTTAATGGGGTCTCTCTGAGTTTCTGAGTTCCCGGGTGGAGCAAATAGCTAAGTGCTCAGCTATTAACAGAAAGATTGGCAATTTGAGTCTACTAGGAGGTGCTTCCGAAGAAAGGTCTGGTGATGCACTTGTAGAAAAAAATCAGCCATTGAAAGCCCTTTGAAGCATAGTTCTTCTGTGATACAAATGGGGTCACCATGAGTGGGAATGGATTCCAAGACAGTTGTTTAATTTTTGTTGTGGTGATTAGCTTGTTGTTGTTTATGGCATACCTAGAAGCTTGCCCATTTGGGTGTGGTTACATGGGTGGGGGGGGGGTGGTGTTCTGATTTGCCCACAAAGGGTCCAGGGTATTGTGATGGTTGTTGTTGTTGTTGTTGTTATGTGCCGTGGAGTCGGTTCCGATTCATAGCGACCCTGTACAGGGTTTCCGAGGCTATAAATCTTTACGGGAGCAGAAAGCCTCATCTTTCTCCCGTGGAACCGTTGGTAGTTTCGAACTGCTGACCTTGCGGTTCACAGCCCGATTCGTAACCACTACGCTACATTTCCCAAGTCTCAGACTGGATTAGCAGCTTGGATAAGGGGCTCGTGGAGAATCAGTGTGTCTGTTGGGGAGTCCCAGTTAGTTCCAGATTTAGCCTCCACATGGGACCTATGTGGAGATGATCTATGGCTGCATTTTGGAATCTTCCACCATGCTCCTGGATTGATTGACCCACAAGCTTGTTGTTTGTGCATAGGGAGTTTAGGATGATCAGAAGGCACCCATATTCAGGGGTGTTAGTATGCTGGCATGAAAAGGCCCTGTATTTGAAAATCTATATTTGCCCCACTTCTCTTTTGAGTTTACTTCAGTGACCCAGAGTTGCATGTAACAGAAAACTTGCTGGTCCAAACTATCTTTCTTACCAACAGATTTTTTTTTTTTAATAGTTTTTCTCATGCTAAACTCTTTTTGATGTCTCATGACATCAGAATTTCCATCTTAACCCTTTGTAAGGATACTGCTCTTCAGTAACATTAGTTTACTTTGTTAATGTATTCATTACCACTCTTTCCAAATCGTTTCCATCTCGCTAAGCATAGAGGTTTAAAATTGATCATCTACTTTTAACATTGTTTCAGGTACTGTTTCTTGGGAGATATGGATCCTTGAATGAGTCTTGCTTGCTTTTCACATCCCTTAGAAAGAAGGCCATTTTCTGTTTCCCACTTGGTGCCTTTGCACAAAATGGGTACTTGAAAAGTATCTGTTCACTGGTTTATGAATTATTTCTCTACTTTCATAAATGTGTTCGGTAGTTCAGGTAAAACACTCACTCATTGTTGAAAATTTAGAGACAATAGAAAAGCACAGAGAAGAAACTGCCCTATAACAAAAGCCCCTGATGATCCTATCACCTAGCCTGGAAGTGATCGTGGTTGACACTGTTGATGCTCTGCTCTTGTGGAAGATACGGACACTTATTTAATTTTAGAAGTGTGGTTATGCTTTGCTCACTCTTTGTTTATCACATTGTTTTGTCTTGTTTAGTAACCGCACATTTGATGGTTTCATCCTAGAGGCTGGGTGATTTTGGAGACAGGATGTCTGCCTGGAGTGGTGCTATAGGATAAAGACTGGACTGCTAACCTCTAAGGTTGGATATTCAAACCCACCAGGCACTCCTTAGGAAACCTTGTAGAGCATCACTGTGAGTGGGAACTGACTCAATGGCACACAACTGCAGCAATGACATCCCGGTTCCGTGGGAGAAAAATGAGGCAGTCTGCTTCTGTCAAGATTCACCATCTTGGATGCCCTGTGGAGCACTTCTGCTCTGCCCTATGGGTTGCTACAAGTTGTAATTGACTTGATGGCAATTTTGTTTGTTATTTTGTTTTTAAATCCATGGCCAAGCTTTTGTGGTATATTGTCACTCTGTCAGCCCTTGCCTTAGCTGCTTTGTCCGGAAATCACTTTCTCTGTAACCTTGTTTCTTCTCATTCACCTCTTGGTTTCCTGCCTTGTTTCAGAAGGGGCTTGGAGATATCTGGCCTCTTCATGAATGTATCTTGTCTCCCTAACCAGATTGTGCTCTTGCTGTCACTTACAGCTTTTTCCATCCCTAGACCCTTACACATTGAGTCCTTGTTTGGTGCTGTACAATAAACACTGGACTGATAACGACAAGGCCTGCAGTTCAAATCCACCAGTTGCTTCTTGGAAGCCCTATACTGGATTGTTGATTTGGAACCAACTCAACGTCACTTAGCAACAATAGGCAGCCCCTTACACACCCCTGTGCCTCACCCACCCCCATACCTTACCGCCCTCCCATGCCTCACCACACAGGAGAATGAGAAATGTTGGTTGATGACGGTAACTGCCCCTTGTAGACAGGACGCTTGTAGTTTCCCTCTACTTCTGAGGAAAATTTATGTAATTGCAGGTGACAGTTGTCTGTTCCTAAAGCCATAGGGACATGAACACATTTCTGCCTTGATATGTTAAAGTCCCCTGAGTGAAGTACCTGCTCAAGATCTTGGCTTGAAATGCACAGTACACAAATGGGAAACTTTTGAACCCTGTAATCTGATTTCACACCACGCTTGCATCCTGTCTTGCACTCTCCTTCCCCGTTTCTGCCTGGGGCACGGTGCTTTCATTCTCATCTCACTGCCTCCAGAATCTTGCCTTTTTTTACTCAGCTGCTGTGGTTCTGATCTGATCTAAAACACCAGATTGGATTTCTGCATTTCTGCCTCCCATCAAGTTAAGTTTCAGTTCCTGGGTGAAGCATCATGATCTAGCCGTAGCCGATCACTTGCAGCTTGTCCCTCACTGCATGTCTCCACGTGCCCACAGTAAAATGAGCCAGATGTCCTGCCAGGAGGACTGGGCAACTTGATGCTTCTCTACTTTTGATCTTACTGAGCAGTCCTGTTCTTTTCTCCCCTTGTATCTCCCCCTTCCCAGGTTGTTAGCTGACTCATGGAGAATTCCATGTGTGTAGAGTAGAAACTGCTCCATGGGGTTTTCAAGACTCTGACCTTTCAGAAGGTCACCAGACCTCTCTTCCCGAGCACCTGAGAGAGTTTGAATGGCCATTCCTTAATTATTTAATGTTCGGCTCAAACACCATCTTCTAAATGAACTCCAAATTATTTCTCTGGTCTTCTGCATGTCTATAACATTTTTATTATTTACTTATTCTGTTGTATTTGATTAAGAGTTATCTATTTCCCCTACTAGTTTGTAAATTTATTGAGAACAGACCTCTTTCCCCAGTAAAGCTAGCAGAGTCTGACACATCATAGTATTTGTGTAGTGAATTACTGCTTTTTATGATGTTTTCCTCTGGGTTTTGTTCATTTTGATTTGTTAAGATGATACCAAATCCAAGTTCCATGTTGTATGGTGGTGATAAGAATGGCTAACATTTATTGAGCACTTACTATGTGCCTAGATGTTGTTCTAAATACTGTGTTATGTGTATTGACTTGTTTATTAATCCATATAGTAGTTCTGTGACTATTACAATAATCTTATAATTATTCATCCTAATTTTACAAATTGAGTAACTTGGTTGTTGTTGTTAAGTGCTATTGAGTCAGTTCCTGTATCGGGTTTCCAGGGATCAGCTGGTGGATCTGAACCACCAACCCTGCGGTTGACAGTCCAGTGCTTATCCTATAACACCACACCATAACTCTGAGTAACTTGGTAATGGTTATCAAATTAGTAAGTGGCAAAGGGGAGACTAGAATTTAGACACTTGGGTTCTAGCACCTTAACTTCTTACTACACTATATGGAGTCCTGGTGTGGCACTGTGGGTTAACGTGCTGGATTGCAAAGTCGATTTGAACTGCAAGGTCAGCAGTTCAAGCTCACCAGCTGCTCCTCAGAAACCCTATTTAGAGTCATTATGAAACCTACTCGATGGCACTAAACAACAACACTACACTACATTGCCAGTTCATTGCAAATCAAGTCCATTTGTGACCATTGAATTGTTCATTTGCTTAATGATTGTTTATAGAATTTAATAGCCCATTATTGGAAACCTTCTAAGATGGTTTGCATTCTTGATGTATGTATTTGCAAACCAAAGGATGTTTACCCTTAACTTGGAGGATTTGCCTTGTGAAAAATTTTCTTTTCTGATCAAATTTAACCCTTGAAAGAAAAGTTAGGAACACTGCTATTAAATGAGCTAGTATTCTTATTTTTAGGATGGCGGTTCCTTGGATCAGGTCCTGAAGAAAGCCGGAAGAATTCCTGAACAAATTTTAGGAAAAGTTAGTATTGCTGTAAGTATATTGTGAAGTTTTTCCAAGTCTCTGATAAGTTAATGAATTGGTAGGAAATGGACATGGGATTAAAGTAGAAAGTCATCAAAGGGAAATTTTTAAAAGTAGGATTTTTCTCATGAGAATTTTGTCTATCTAGATGAAATTCATTGTCTCTCTAAAAATAGAAAAATTATTTTCTTTATATTACAATCTATGCCCAAGAGTTTTCCTATTTGTGACATCAACAGAGGCTGCTTTTTAGATTGCAGATTTTGAGAAAAAGACCAAGATTCAATCAAAGACGGTTTTATTTTTTAAGTTGATATTTAAACCTACAGTAATTAATTTTATTTAAAAATAATACTCTACACACCATGTAAAAAGATGGTTGCTTGATATGACAGGTTAAATATGAAATAAAAAGAATAAAAAAAATAAAGGCGGCAGGAAGATTTGTGATGTCAGATGGAATATTTTCTAAGTCATCTGAAAATAGAGACGGGGAGGCTTTTCTTAACGCCATATTTTAGCTCCCCACCGTTTTCTATTTCTTTTCTTCTAGGTAATAAAGGGACTGACATATCTGAGGGAGAAGCACAAGATTATGCACCGAGGTAAGAAGTTACTTGCTAGCTATAATTGTTTTGAATTTTAGTTGATATCCAATAGTTACCATTTCCTCATTTTTACCGGTTGTGGGTGAGGGTCTGAATGCCTTTGAAAAAGTCCTTTTAATCTTTATTAGAAGTTTTTGACTATTTGATTTAATAGCTGGAGCAGTACTTTCCTATTTCTGGTTTATAGCACACTTGTTACCTGAGGCCATGAGGTACAAGTCTGTACCCAGGCCCAAATGTACAGGTTGTACATAGGTCCAAAGCAATGACCAACCTGATTGGATATGCGTTTGACAGTAAAAGAAACTCTAGCCTCTTAATAAAGGTACACAGTATCCACTCACCTTGTACCATGCCACTCTTTGGTATTTATCCAGGATGAATAAAATACATGTTCACATTGACGTGTACACAACTGTGTAAAACAGCTGTATTTATAATAGAAACAACTGAAATATGCAAAGAGAGGCATACATTGGAGTACTATTGTGCAATAAAACAAACAACCTGCCGAGGATACACACAGCTTTGCATTAATGCTGAGTGAAACAAGCCAGACACAACACAGTACAAACTGATTCCATTTAGATAAAGTTATAGAGAAAATAACAACTAATCTGTAAAGCACATCAGTGGTTTCTTGAGGTTTTAGAGGGAACTTTTCTTTTTTCCTTTTAAAGTTTTTTTTTATTGTGAATTGGGTGAAGGTTTACAGAGCAGATCAGTTTTCCATTCAGCAGTTCATAGACATTTTGTTTCATCTCATTGATTACAAGCCCTATAGTGTGTTATCACTTATCCCACTTCCTCCCTGTATTTCCTGTTTCCATGCCTTCTCCTTTTCTAACCCTTCTAAACCTTGTCCTTGAGTCACATCTGTGCTTAAGAGCTTTCCTATATGTGGCACCAACAGAGGCTGCTTTGATAAATAATCTCAAATGGTTGACTCTTATAAAGTACGCAGAGTATTCTAAAGTAATATCATTCCCCTGTCTGTTTGGCTGAAAACGGAACCTTGGGGGTGAGTTCATTTCCATACCTGAAAGGCCAAAGTCTCGGGGTTCCATCAGTCTTTATGTAAGACCAATTGTTGTTGTTAAGGACCATTGAGCCGATTCCCACTTACTTACAACGACCCGATATAGGATTTTCAAGGAGTGGCTGGTGAGATAGAAACTACGACTTTGTGGCTTAAACCAATCTTGTGTTGGAGTGCTTATCCTATAGGGCCACACCAGGATTCCTATATGACCAGTAAGTTTGGTCTTTTTTATGATTTTGAGTTTTGTTCCACATTTTTCTCTGTTCATTTATCCAGGAACTTCTAATGTGATCATCCTTTTCAGAGCAGTTGGTAATATTAGCCACGTACCATCTAGTCTTCTGGTCTCAGGTTTGTGGAGACTGATGTTCAAGTGGTCCAACTGTCCATTGGACGAATTGTTTCCCTGTGTCATTGATTTTCTTCACTCATCTTTCCTCTGGACAGGAGAGACCAGTGATTACACCTTACATAGTTGCTCAAGACCTTTAAGACACCAGCTGCTACTCGCCAAAGTAGGATGTGAAACATTGTCTTTGTGATGAGGGAACCTTTTTGAGGTGATGGAATCTGGTATATGGTATTTTGACTGTGACAATAAATACAAGGGAGCTTCAAAATGCTTGCAGAAAATTTCCCTTATCTCTAACTCTATTTCTCCAGGAAAATTTTAAATCCCCCTTGTACGTTCATAAAAACACTAACTGTACACTAAAGTGGCTATATTTTATTAAATATGATTAAAACTCAGTAAAGTTCATTAAATATGATGTTGACTCCTGACCCTTCAGTCACGCTGAGAGTGACAGATGTAAGGAAGGAGGGAGGGCTGAGGAAGAGCTGAGTGGATTGGTGGAATTAACTAGGTAGCTTACTAGCTGCCATTTTTCTGTCCATAGCCTCCTGAGTACTGAGGCTAGCCAGCTTTGCCAAGACAACTCATGGGTTCATTTCCAACATTCTCACCCTAGTGTTCTATTTGTTAGTACAGCTTCTTCCAAACAATGATCTCTCGGGTCTATGGTTAGAGCTCACCTAATTGGAACAGTATTTGCAAATATGAGAGTGCATAAATGTTAAAGAGCAGTTACGCTGCATGCAGCCAATCTGGGTAGGAACCTGGAAACTTTAAGTGAGGTGCTGGTTTTTAAATAAGCACTGATTCTGAGGCTGTGGTGCATAGACACACTTTTTAAAACATTGCAACAAAGAGAGGCAGCTAGCTATGTGGGTTGTCTAGGGAGAAGGAGTAAAGGCACCTCCTCCCCACTGTGGGCTCCTGTGGGAACGAAAGAAATAGAAAGTGAAGCATGAAGAAGATTGTTGTATAAATGTTGCTTCACACTCCAGGGGAAAGTTCTTAAAATATTGATAGGTTTCTGTCTGCAGATTTGCATGGGCAGTTTACAGCTTGTGCATATTTTTCAGTTGGGTACATCTATTCCTTCCAATCTGGGCCACTACACTGCACTGTTGAGGTCTAGAGATTATTCAGTCAAGAAGTGGGAAAGAAAGCAAAGAGAGCTAATGGTTAAAAAAGTAAAACTAGACACGTATACAACATGATGGATGTAATTAATGTCACTGAATGGATCATGTAGAATATGTTGAAATGACAAAAGTCATACATAAAAAAGTCATATACACACACATATATAATTGGACTCCTGATCAGTATGGCACTGCAAACCACAAGGTCAGCTGGCAGTTCAAACCCACCAGGTACTCCTTGGGAACCCTATACAGGGTCGCTCTGAGCTGGAACTGACTCAGCAGCACTTTAACAATAACAACATATGTATATAATTAGAGAGATTGATCATGCCAAGTAATGGCAACTGGAGCTCTCATAAACTGTTGGCAGAAACGTTAAATAGTGCAACCATGTTGGAAAAGAGTTTAGTAAGTTATTTAAAAATTAAACCATATAACCCATCAATCTCATTCCTAGGAGAAATTTTACCTAGGAGAAATGAAGGCATTTATTCATGCAAGGATTTGTATGCAAGTGCTTATTGCAGCTCTACTCACAATAGCAGAAAACTAAGAACCAATAGCGTTCATCAGTAGATGACTAGGTAAACAGATTTTAACACTTTCAAACAATGGAATACACTTTAGCAGCAAAAACAAACTACTGACGCATACTACTAGTTGGATGAATATCAGAAACTATGCTGAGTGAAAGAAGCCAAGCACAAAAGAATTCATACTGTCTGATTCCATTTATATGAATTGTTGTTATTCATGCTGTTGAGTCCATGTTTCGGAGGAGAGACTGATAAGTTTGAACCTCCAACCTTGTGGTTCAAACTGCCATTGCAGTTTTGCACATATCCTACAGCATCGTACCGGGACTCCACATGAACTTTTAAAGCACGCAAAATGAATCCACAGGAACATAAAGTAGCTCAGTGGTTTCCTGAATGTCTGGGAAGGAACGATCTTCAAAGGGGCACAAAGAAACTCTTTTAAATGATAGAAATAGGAATTTTTGTGTTGGATTCGCAAGTATAAGCAGGTTTCCCTCACTAGCTAAAAGTAGACTATTCCCCTGAAATCTCTCTTAAACCAGAGGTGGTGTGAAGCAAAGAAACAATTACCATTAATTTGTATGGGGAAAATTTTGAGTATTTCCAAACCCCCCAAAATAACCTGTTAAATCACACCAAAAACCCAACAGCACAAAAAAACTAAACTAACAGTGTTTACAGGCACAGTTCGGAGCTGTGGCAATGTGATACTGAGATGCTGAGTGTATGTCCTTAGGAAAAAGCTTCACAATGCCCCTCTCACTGGCCTCCTTAACAGCTTGCTGCAAAACAAATATTGGATGCTAGTTTTGCTTTTTTTTTTTTTTCTGTAAAAGGGAAGTGACACAAAACAAAGTTTCAAAAAGCAAGGAATATCTGTATATGTTTCAGAATGCATCAAACACTATAAACTATCACCCAAACCACAATTACAAACAACAGCAAAATAAACCATACCACACTGTACACTTGAAATTCAATGCAAAAGTCTTCTGCTTTCTAATTGCACAGGCTGCCATTTGCCCTCTTTCTGCTAACAGTTAACCAAATGTCAGTAGGAGGCAGTGGTAAGGGTCAAGTGGGAGGATCTGTTTTTTCCAGGGGTTTGTGGCCCTTATCTGTGGCTTTTTAAGACCTCTAAGTTTAAAACCTCTACAGAGCATGGTTCCACTTTGACACACAGGGCATTGCATGAGTTGGAATTGACTTGAGAGCAACTGGTTTCTGGTTGGGATTTTAATGTCGTCATTTCTAGGAAATAAGACTCTGAAAAGAGAGTAGGAATTAATATTTCCTAATTGTGGGACTTTTCATCAAGCAAGGTTGTATCATGTGCATATCACAGGTTGTTAATGAGTCTTCCTCCAATCCTGATGCCTAGTTTTTCTTCATATAACCCAGTTTCTCAGATTATTTGCTCAGCATACAGGTTGAATAAGTATGGTGAAAGAATACAACCTTGTCTCATACCTTTCTTAATTTTAAATCATTCGGTGTTCCCATGATCTGTTCGAACAACTGTCTTTTGGTCCAGGTACAGATTCCTCATGAGCACAATTAAGTGTTCAGGAATACTCATACTTCGCAATGTTATCCCATAGCTTGTTATGATTCACACAATTGAAAGCCTTTGCATGGTCAATAAAGCACTGAAAGTGAAGAGGACTTAAAACATTTACTGATGAAGATCAAAGAGCACAGCCTGCAGTATGGATTGCATCTCAATGTAAAGAAAACAAAAACCCTCACCACTAGACCAATAAATAACATTTTTGTCAACGGAGAAAAGATTAAACTTGTCAAGGACTTCATTCTTCTTGGATCAACGATCAAAACTCATGGAAGCAGCAGTCAAGAAATTATTGCATTAGGCAAATCTGCTGCACAAGACCTTTTTAAAGTGTTGAACAAAGATGTCAGCT